TGACATAAGGTAATTCACTACATTTTCCAGGCATGTCTCCCTAAATTCTTCTACACAAAGACTTGTTGAATATTTTCATACCCCATTTTGATCTTTTACTCTATTTCGAAGATAAGATTGGCGAAGAAACTTTGAAACTTGTCTTCTTCTAAGGTGAACGGTATGATTTAACCTAAAAATAAATCAACGAAATTTATACCAAACCGATTTAAAATAAAATAATTATTTACCTTAGAGAAAAATCACAATCGAATTTTTGTCTTAATAAAGACAGATAATATTAAATAAAACCGCAATAAATTCATAATGAAATATTGAAAACACCAAACGCCAAAACCAAGAACACGACTCTGAGCTCAGCTGATCGAAACCATTGAAACTAAAAATCGATATCACCTCGTCGACCAATAAGAACGTTGAAAATTAAAAACAAGTAAAGATGGGAGGAGGCTGTGACGAGGAGAGTAAGTATTGGTATCAAGCGCTTGGGAAAGTAGTTTTTAGCGGACCGGCTTTTTTGATCTCTCGGTATATAACCAGATTGCTGATTACGATAAGTCTTATGTTATACATTTTATGAATCAGTTTCATGAATTTGTTGCATTTATAAACACTTCATGTATTGTTTACAAAAGACTCTAAGTTTCGCAAGGTTCCATCTTGGTATATTTCTAAAGCGTTAGTTCTTCTAATGATTTTTCAGGCTACTCTTCTTAGGTTGGTTTGAGTTTAATCTTTATTATTTTCTACTATTTAAACTCATGATAGTGATTCTCCTGATAATGAGTTTCTGCTGAAACCGGTTAAATCCGAAATAAATTATTTTTCACCAAACTAACGCTTACATTAAATAACTTTCTACTAATTTTTTATATATATTATTTATTTTTATTTTCCAAGAATTCATTAGCTATTTTGAAAAAAATAAAATATAAATGGAATCGTTAAATTAGTATTTTTCAAAAGTAATTACGTGAATAATTTTAAGAATTAATTAATTTAAGTGAAAATAATATTTTTTTGGAATTTTAATAATGCAATTTCAATAACTTCTTCGTTCATAGCAAAATTTCCGAATCAATCTCAATGAAATCTACATTTTCGAAAGCTGATTTTCGAATTGCTACCTCTCGATGTTCAAGCGAGGATGTGAAATAATTTTCAACAGTTTTACTTGATGTAGATGAATAAAATACGGGGGGTTCCAGACGGTTAGAGTTCGAAGCCGTAGGGAAAACAACAAACCCCCCCGGAGTATTAGTCGAAATAAATTCGAACAATAGGGTAAAACTACCGACGAGCTCGTTAATGATTAAAGTTTCGCGTGCCCGCCGCGTTTTCTATCCTTTCCCCAAAACCACCCCGCGAACAACGGAACGGGGGGAGAAAATGGGGGCTCTATCGCGGAATAAATAGCAATTAGCCCGCGGTCTTGAGACTCAACACCCAACCCCAACTCCCAACCCAAGTACAAACCTTAGACAATACCCTTTTCTCGCACAATAATTAATGCAAGAAAAATAGGGTGGGCGGGGAAAAGAATACAAGGGAAATTGTCTTTTTGCGGTTTATTTGTGAATTCATTCGTTTTCATTCGTTCTTATTTGTTCTTTCATTGTGTTTTGAATTTTAATCCGAGTAATTTAAGGGTTCTTCAAAGACAACCTAACATTTTGTTAATATCTGAGGTTGAAATCAAAAAAAATAAATATAAATAAAAAACAGTAGAACAAAACTTTCGGGTTTAGTTCTAGGTCTAGTGTTAGTTCTAGTTTTAATTGCTATTCATCGCTAGATTGTATATTTTTATTCAACTGACACTAGACCTAGAACTAGAATCATTTGGGTTTAGCCGCACGTCTCTAAAGACGGCTAAACCCAAATGATTCTAGTTCTAGGTCTTGTGTTAGTTTTAGTGATAGTGCTAGTACAAAACTAGAACTAGCACTAGACCTAGAACTAGAAACATTTGGGTTTAGCCGCACGTCTCTAAAGACGGCTAAACCCAAATGATTCTAGTTCTAGGTCTTGTGTTAGTTTTAGTGATAGTGCTAGTGCAAAACTAGAACTAACACTAGACCTAGAACTAGAAACATTCGGGTTTAGCCGCACGTCTCTAAAGACGGCTAAACCCAAATGATTCTAGTTCAAGGTCTTGTGTTAGTTTTAGTGATAGTGCTAGTACAAAACTAGAACTAACACTAGACCTAGAACTAGAAACATTCGGATTTAGCCGCACGTCTCTAAAGACGGCTAAACCCAAATGATTCTAGTTCTAGATCTAGTGGTAGTTCTAGTTTTGTACTAGCACTATCACTAAAACTAACACAAGACCTAGAACTAGAATCATTTGGGTTTAGCCGTCTTTAGAGACGTGCTGCTAAACCCAAAAGATTCTAGTTCTATAGTAGACGCCACGAGAGCTGGCAGTAAATCATCGTGTTCCGCTCTTACAAATGCCATACGTAGTTCACAAACCGCTAGAGAGTAATATGTGTTAGAAAGAGATAGCATTAGTTTAATATGTCTGCTGTACAATTCAAATAGCCACGTCGAAAAAGTATGTGTGTTCTTCTAAGAGATGTAACTCTATAATTATAACCTCAAATCGAAACGTCTTGAGAGCGTTGTCATGAATCTTTTAGTGTTTTCACAAGCCGAAAATAAAATAAATTAATAATTAATGAATAAATTATGAACCACTGTTTAAATAAAACTTACTTAATCCCTTGTGACCTGTAAATACCCTTTTAAAGTATTTGTTAAATAAATTAATAATTACATAAATATTAAAACAGGATGTATGTAAAAGTAAAAACTTTTTGAGAAATACTAAAATGTTTTAATCATTAAACTAAAGTACCTAAATTAAGATTAAAAGACGTCTGGCTAATCCTGAATGATTCTACTTACAGGTCTTGTGTTAGTTTTAGTTCTAGTGCAAAACTAGAACGAACACTAGACCTAGAACTAGAATCATTCGTATTTAGCCGTCTTGAGAGACGTGCGGCTAAACCCGAATGCTTCTAGTTCTAGGTCTTGTGTTAGTTCTAGTGATAGTGCTAGTACAAATATAGAACTAACACTAGATCTAGAACTAGAAACATTCGGGTTTAGTCGTCTTTAGAGACGTCTGGCTAAACCTGAATGATTCTACTTACAGGTCTTGTGTTAGTTCTAGTTCTAGTGCAAAACTAGAACTAACACTAGACCTAGAACTAGAATCATTCGGATTTAGCCGTCTTGAGAGACGTGCGGCTAAACCCGAATGCTTCTAGTTCTAGGTCTTGTGTTAGTTCTAGTGATAGTGCTAGTACAAAATTAGAACTAACACTAGATCTAGAACTAGAAACATTCGGGTTTAGCCGTCTTTAGAGACGTCTGGCTAAAGCTGAATGATTCTACTTACAGGTCTTGTGTTAGTTCTAGTGCTAGTGCAAAACTAGAACTAACACTAGACCTAGAACTAGAATCATTCGGATTTAGCCGTCTTAAGAGACGTGCGGCTAAACCCGAATGCTTCTAGTTCTAGGTCTTGTGTTAATTCTAGTGATAGTGCTAGCACAAATATAGAACTAACACTAGATCTAGAACTAGAAACATTCGGGTTTAGCCGTCTTTAGAGACGTCTGGCTAAAGCTGCATGATTCTACTTATAGGTCTTGTGTTAGTTCTAATTCTAGTGCAAAACTAGAACGAACACTAGACCTAGAACTAGAATCATTCGTATTTAGCCGTCCTGACAGACGTGCGGCTAAACCCGAATGCTTCTAGTTCTAGGTCTTGTGTTAGTTCTAGTGATAGTGCTAGTACAAAAATAGAACTAACACTAGATCTAGAACTAGAAACATTCGGGTTTAGCCGTCTTTAGAGACGTCTGGCTAAACTTGAATGATTCTACTTATAGGTCTTGTGTTAGTTCTAGTGCTAGTGCAAAATTAGAACTAACACTAGACCTAGAACTAGAATCATTCGGATTTAGCCGTCTTGAGAGACGTGCGGCTAAACCCGAATGTTTCTAGTTCTAGGTCTAGTGTTAGTTCTAGTGATAGTGCTAGTACAAAAATAGAACTAACACTAGACTTAGAACTATACGAAATATATTTTTGTATATTCCATTTTAAGTAAAATTCAGTGTATATCGCCGCTTTAAATCGGAATTTATATCGAAAGAGGATGAGTTTCAAATTACACGATATTTTATCGAACGGTTATGTAATGTCAATTGAAATTTTTTTTTAAATAAATAAAATAAATATGAAGTATGATAAAAAAATAAGAAACAAAAAATTGTTTTTGTGTTATTCTCAAATAAACAAAAATAATTAAATAAGTAATATTAACTCTCTAAAAACATTTTCCGTAACATTTACAATAACAATTATTTAGTATTACGAAGTAAACATCAACAAAACAGATCGCGGAGGATTACAGAGTTAATGTTTTTCCTTTTGATGTTTCATTTTCACGTCAGAACGAACGCGCATTTGCAATGCAGATTTTCTTTTAACGATTTTACGTTTTTCTTACATAGAAAAACATTAATACATAATATTAATAAAAAAAATTGCGCTAATATGTTATGTATTGAGATTACTTCCATCGACCGGTTTCATTAATTGTTAATAATCTTCAGGAAAAAATTTTTTACCAATAATATTTTAACACCAATTTGTAACAGAACTTCTTCGTAATTGATCAAATTACATTTTATTACCTCGTGTGTGAGTTTTGTGCAAATGTTTATCGAGTTTATTTACTTTAATTACAATACTTATTGTTATAAATTAAATAGATAAATTGACGAATAAATAAATGTGAGAGGAGAAATATTTCAACAAATTAAACGGATAATAACGCGACAGCTATAAAACCGGTTTTCATTTACGATGAATTATTAATCTCTGCATAATTTATAATTTTTCAAAAATTTTTATTAACTCATAAAATATAATTTTTTACTTACATGTTAATAAAATAGTAGAATAAATAGCAAAGCTACTTTTAATCCTGATGAAGACTGAATTCATACTAATCACTATCTCTTCTTCCTTAAATTATTACGAAACCAAAAGTGTTTTCGTTTCAAAAAAAATTTTTCTCAATAGATTCTTTTAATACGCGAACCACGTGGACAACCTTTCAAAAATGAAGGAACGAACGGTGCGTCTCGCGGTGCGGGTCGCACTGAATTCGAAATTCCGGCGACAAACTTCCCAACGCTTTCGTTCGTAGCCCGATTTTGCGCCCCACCACGGGGCTCTTATAAAAATCGCGTGAGCGCTTTACCCTCACCTTGTTTTCAAATCGCACCTCTTCGTTCCACTCACAATTTCGAATGATTTTCGAAAAGGACGGAGATAACATCGCGCCACATCAATTTTTTTTTTGGTGTGTGTGTCATAAAAAATCACCTTTTTGATATTATATAGGAGGTTTTGTTTCAATGACGCTTTAAAATATGGTGTGATTCTTGAATGACGCGGTGAAATAGTTGTTTCTAGAAGGATTGTTGATTATTTAGAAATCCGATGACTCCTTAATGTTTATAAATAATCATATCAGGGGATTCTCGGAAAAATAAATACGATCATTAAAGTTTGATTCTTTAATAGTAATCTTAACTCGTTGAATGCATACGTGATTCTTCTTCTTATAGTGGTTATCCGGTCAGGATGTAAGCTATCATTCATTCTTCTATTGTTGTTGTTCAAAATCACGTCTTAAAATGCTTGAGTCCAATTTTTGTAGTTTGTGTATCGGCTCCTAAAAATTGACACCATTTTGACTCTGAATTTTGTTGATGATTTTGCATAATATATTTTTGCTTATATTTTCTTGATCAAATTTCTCACTGATAGCTTTTACTCGGTACATTAGTTGCTGCAATCCTATCAGACTGTTTGCCATAATGACTGTATCGTCAGCGTACCGGATGTTATTCAGTTTTATTTCATTTACAGAGTATTTCTGAATATACCGGGAATTTAATATAACTCGCAATATATGAATGCATCTCTCATTCTAGTTCTAGGTCTTGTGTTAGTTCTAGTGATTGTGCTAGTGCAAAACCAGAACTAACACTAGACTTAAAACTAAAAACATTCGGGTTTAGCCGCACGTCTCTTCAGATGGCTAAACCCGAATGATTCTAGTTCTAGATCTTGTGTTAGTTCTAGTGATAGTGTAAAACTAGAACTAACACTAGACCTAGAACTAGAATCATTCGAAAACCATATATGAATGCATCTCTCATTCTAGTTCTAGGTCTTGTGTTAGTTCTAGTGATTGTGCTAGTGCAAAACCAGAACTAACACTAGACTTAGAACTAGAAACATTCGGGTTTAGCCGCACGTCTTTCAAGACGGCTAAACCCGAATGATTCTAGTTCTAGGTCTAGTGTTAGTTCTAGTTTTACACTAGCACTATCACTAGAACTAACACAAGACCTAGAACTAGAATCATTCGGGTTTAGCCGTCTTGAGAGACGTGCGGCTAAACCCGAATGTTTCTAGTTCTAGGTCTAGTGTTAGTTCTAGTTTTACACTAGCACTATCACTAGAACTAACACAAGACCTAGAACTAGAATCATTCGGGTTTAGCCGTCTTGAGAGACGTGCGGCTAAATCCGAATGTTTCTAGTTCTCGGTCTAGTGTTAGTCTTACACTAGCACTATCACTAGAACTAACACAAGACCTAGAACTAGAATCATTCGGGTTTAGCCGTCTTAAAAGACGTGCGGCTAAATCCGAATGTTTCTAGTTGTAAATCTAGTGTTAGTTCTGGTTTATTACTAGCGGCTATCACTAGAACTAACACAAGACCTAGAACTAGAATCATTTGGGTTTAGCCACACGTCTCTAAAGATGGCTAAACCCGAATGGTTCTAGTTCTAGGTCTAGTGTTAGTTGAATAAAAATATACAATCTAGCGATGAATAGCAATTGTAACTAGAACTAACACTAACCCGAAGCTTTCTAGTTCTAGATCTAGTGTTAGTTCTAGTTTTAGTGCAATAAAAATATGCAATATAGTGATATCTTATGCTAACTAGTGCTACCTACCATTGTCACTAGAACTAACATTAGACTTAGAAGTAGAAACATTCAGGTTCAGCTGTCTTAAGAAACGCACGGCTAAACGGAATGTTTCTAGTTCTAATGTTAGTTCTAGTCCTAGTGTTAGTCTAGTTTTATTTGTTATTCAGCGCTTGTTTATTGTATATTTTTATTGAGCTACTTACTGAAACAGTTCATTCCCCATATTCATCCGTTATATCGAGGTTTTACTGTAATGTCAAATTATTCCATTTTATGTGGGACAAAGTAAGTAGGTACGCCCTGGATTCTATGGAAATATATTTTTGTATATTGCATCTTAAGTGAAATTAACTGTATTTTAACATTATTTTTAACACCCTGTATTTTATATGTTGATTGAACTGTCCATAAAGGTTCCTTTAATTTATGTTAAGTCTGTCATATGTTCAAATTTAGTATTTTGAAAAAATAATTGACTCTCTCATTAACTATTAACATATGCCGTTAGATAAACAAATTTTGTTTCATTCATAATATGATAAAATATACAGGGTGATCCATTACATACTTTCCGGGCAAGTTTAAATAACAACACCCGGTATAAATGAAAACAATTTTACTTTATAGAATGTTGTGAGGCAAACAACCTTTGTATAAAACATTTCTTTCTTTCTTAAACGATTTTTTTAGCGAGAGAGCTCCAAATTTGTGAATTGGGGTTTCAAAAGAAAACTGACCTTCCCTAATATTCCTTCAGGTTGTAATTACGGTGTCTTCACGGTATAATTTAGGTTGCAAAAGAAAACTGACCTATCCTAACATTCTTTCATGCTATAATTGAGGTTTCAAAAGAAAATTGACCTATATTTTTGTCAGAGTTGATTGACATTTGATACTTCTTTGATATTTCGTCCGTTTCAGAGATGGACTTGAACATACTTGTCTTCTTTAGCAGTGATCGCAAGCCCTGATTAATCTATTTCCCATTGTAGTCGTGCGTCTTTTAATATACAGGTGTCCGGAAATATAAAAAAAAATATACATATACTAACTTTTTTGTTTTTTAAGATAAGTGCGTCTTTTTTGGACTGATTTTAAAGTGTTTTTTATTAAAGAATACATCATGAAAGAACACCATGAAGTTGTCCATTTGTTTATTATACAGGTGTCCGGAAATGATGTGTACAACGCAAGACTACAAATACCATGACCAAAAATATGATGATTTAACTCAACTTATCTATATACAAAATTGCTTAGTTTAGTCGCTAGAGGGTCCTCGATGGATTTTATTCATTTTTTAGTCACGCATTTGTATCAGTAGACTACAGCTATTTGTGGAATAAACTCTAATTTCGAAAATTATAGGGTATTTAAAAACTTTGTAACAATAAATTATGCAACCATATCTTTTTAACCCGCTGTACAAACAATACCATTTTTTTTCCTGAATAGTTACTTTAATTTAGAAACTATTCTCTCTCTTACAAAATTTCAGTTGGGTGAACGGTTTAGCCACAAAAATAGTTATTTATATTACAAGTGGGCTAGAAACATAATTACTGTACGAGTGTGGAGAATTGCACTACGAGGTCGTAGACCGAGTACTGTAATTATGCTCTAGCCCACGTGTGATATACAGCATTTTATCTACTACTGCTAAAAATTACTAAAAAATCAATTTCTTTAGAAAAGTCTATTTGACATTTATAAAAATATTTTGAAATGATTGTTGACAATTTTGAATTGTCAGTTTCAACAACATGTTTACTTATCTGGAATAAGTGTTCTGAAATGTAAAAACATAACAATTAATGTTTATAATAAATAGTATTGTTTCTCTGTAAGTAGATAGCACTTTTTCTTTTGTATTGTTGCTGGTTTCAATAAATTAAGTCTGTTCTGATTAGGCTAAAAATGCGTTACGTAGTGAAACCAGTGCGGTAATGAACTTCATTACGTAACTCAAATCACCTCAAATGAGTGCGGTAATGATGATTTATCCAAGCAGTCGTAGATAAAATATTTTGTAAATCCCTACAAGCGCGAATGAGTGATGCAAGGTAATTAAAAACTTTTTTTAATAGTTGGCTAGGTATAATTCATTTAAAACAAAAACAGTTTGTCATTTAAATTTGACAGCAGTATTCGTATTTTTCGTTTTGTGTTTTGTCTTTGATTCATCATGAATTTTCAAAGCGACTAAACTAAGCAATTTTGAATATAGATAAGTTAAGTTAAATCATCATATTTTTGGTCAAGGTATTTGTGGTTTTCCGTTGTACACGTCATTTCTGGACACCTGTATTTACTTATTTGTCTTTGATTACTTTTCCATGGTTGTCCTTCAACTTACATCTTGTTCTGGATTTGAGCTGTTTCTTTAATCTGTCATCTACGTATCTCGTCCGATGTTTTGGACTAGTTTTAAGAATTTTTTGCTTACATATCTTTGCTTTTCAAATTCTAAACTCACATCTCCGCTGCTCCTTTCGTCTTGTGTGTGTTCTGCCAAGTGTCTTACTTCTGCCTTGTTGTTCGGATCTTTTAGTTTTCGCATATCATATTTGATCTTGTTTAGTAGTTTGTGTATCCTTTATAGTTTTAGTCTAGGAATAGTTGCCCTGGTTAGAGCAGGTTTAAGCTGGATTTATCAGTTAGATAAATTTATTAAGAGGTGGTAAAGGTGGGCCTTACATTACTAAGCCCCTTTTGCATCTCTGGCTAAGGTGATACTATATTTGTCCCAGGATAGATCTTTTTTGAATATATTATAGAATTTAAAAAATAATCAAATTTTTGATTGAAACACCCATTAAAATTAATACGATTATTCGAAATTTCCAAAAATAAACGCTATAATCGCGTTATTTGGCGCCGGGTTTCAAGTCCGGAAGTGGCGGCTAATTTCGTCGAACACGGCAACGCATTAGCGTTTATTTTAAAAGTTAATCAAATAATACGCGCTCGTCCCAGGTACACAAGCACGCATCGATTGCCCTCTAATAACGTAGCTGGGAAATGTTCGCAAATGGAACGGCGATTTCCAAAAAGGTTTAATGGCAAAATGCGGTAGCTAAAGCGCTGTGACAGTAGCGGGTTCGCTTGACAAATATTAATTTCCCGAAATTATTTATGAGATTTTACCGGGGGTATTAT